TCATGGAACCAGAAAATGTACCCCAGGCCAATCTGATGGAAGAATTTTCTCAGTTGAGTTTCCTCTTCTCAGATAACTCAAGCTTGTGTTAGCTGACAAAAACCAGACAGCACACTTCACTTCCCAACACTACTACTATCTTCAATTTTACCACATTGGTGCTCATATCTGGCTCTCCATTTCCATTGGCAACATCCAGTTACCAACTCTTTTAGTAAGTGAATGTTGTGAGAATCTACTCTTGGCCAGACTCTGAGAATGCGGAGATGACTGAGAGGTCAAAAGATGTGAACTTAAGAGTCAAGTGAGGAAGGCCAGGACATGTGATAACACATTTGATGAAAGCAAGAGCTCACCATTATCCCTTACAAGAACTGAGATTAGAACCTCCTTAGAGTTCCAGTTGTTCCCAGTCTCCCCATCCACTACTCAATTGCCATCATACCATTGATCAGGCCACCCTATCCCACCCCCCCACAAAAATAAACCTTCACATGCCTCTATATTTCCTACTAACTTCATATTTACCTCCAGAGCCTGGTATACCACCCACTATCCTGCTCAGGCCCAAGCTTGACTCTCCAGCCTTCTTTCCCACTTCCTTGTGATCAAACAGCACATTCCCAATGTACATTCCACATGTGTCTGTGCTGGTCTCAATGCTCCTACTTTATTTGAAATGTCTTCTTTCCCTCCCCAGTCTCTGTGCACTTTCCAGGATTGAAACACTACCAACCATGCTCTTCCTCTCTCTCTTATACTCAGTTTAGCAGAAACTGACCTCTGCCTTTATTGGGCTTATACAGTTCTTCTTTTACATATGTACAGGCCATCTCCTGGAACTAGAATGATTTTTTTGTGCACGTTTCATCTGCCCTACTAGAGACTTCGAGTTTGGCTCAGCATGGTTTCCCAGGACCTAGCACATGACTCTATTAGCTGAGTGAAAGTCACATGGGAACAGAAGTGCATTGTGGACTTGGAAGTGCATGATAAAAAGCAAGTTCTATTGGTGGTGACAAAGATGGGTTCCACTATTTCCTAAAGAATGATTAATAGATTGGTCCCTTCTGACCAGAGGTAGTATAAAGGTCTTACTCCTTTTTCCTTCCTTTTTATAATATAAATAATGAATCATACATTTACTAACCTGAGTATTTTCTTATAGGCAAAAGTAGGGAAGCTTCCAGCTTCTATTCAGTGCAGTTTAGACCTGTCTTAAATGTTCCTCAGGGAAAATATCACACTATATTTTATGAGAAAAGATTAGGCCAAATATATTTTTAATAATGTATAAATATAACTTCCCCCAACTAAAGTATACCCCCCTCAAGGATAATGAATTCTAGGGCCCGAAGAGATGGCTCAGCGCTTAAGAGAAGCGACTGATCTTCTAGAGGACCCAACTTTAATTTCTAGCATACATAGGCTTAAAACTGCTTCTTTTACTCCAGGTACAGGGAATCTGATACTATCTTCTGGCCTCCACAGGTACTAAGCATTCCATTTGTACACAGACACACATGCTGGGAAAACACCCATGCACAAACATTTTAAATTTAAAAAAGGATTACTTTCCTTCACATGCTACACCCGAGCTACACACATGTGCACATGAACACACACATATATGCAAATGCTCATATCTACAGTCTATCACAGTGCTTAACTAAAGAGTAAGTATCCAATATTTGTGTATGCCCTCACAGTAAGAACACTGCAAAATCAGTCTAGGAGTGACTCCTTTGATGTCAAATCTCCTGTCACCAAACTCACTTCTAATGACCAGGAAGGCAATACGCATTGCCTAATGGTATAATTCCCTTGGCAGAAGTCTTGTCTCTGGTTAAATGAGCTCTCTATACTGTCTGGAGAAAGGAGGGAGTTGTTCCCATGTTGTGGCCTGAGGGGATCGGTTGAAGCATATTGGCTTGTACTCTCTGCACCAAAGGATGCAAGCTCCAAGTCGGGGGGGGGGGGGGTGGAAAACAAAACATGAGAGGTTTTGATTAAACTTGTTTCTTTGACATTCAGCCTGGACAGATGCATTCCCTGGTGATGGGAGTCAGGGGTGATATGTGACGGGGGAGGGGGAGGGGAACTCAAGCAAGCCCTGGGAAATCAAAGGCTCTCTTTCTTTCTTGTCCACTTTGAGCAATCTTTCCAAACTTGCGGGAATTACCCACTGATGTTTACATCTGCCTGTAGCTCTTCCTTTGGTAATGACCCCGCAGAAAAGAAGTGGGTCTCTTCTGTTTTGATCCAGAGCCATATAAATGATTGAGCACATGAGAGACACCACACTACAAACACTACCAAATGGAACTGCTTTGACTGGGATGAGCAGAATGTGGCAGTGTAAGTGTGTTGGGAGGCTGGGATCCTTTCTTTGTGATGAAGATACATACAAATGTGCACTCTGAAATAAGAAATCCTGTCCAGCCCCAGAAAGGAAATGAGGCAGGATGACTTTCTAGCTACTCGGAGACTAGACAAGCCTGTGGGAAATGGTACTTTATTCCCTAAAACATTACCTCCATCAGGAGAAAAGGACCCAGCAGTGGCCTCCCACCTAAATATGTCTGAGTAATTCTAGTCTTACCCAGAACTAACTCCCTTCACCCAGTATACTTCTGTAGCCTTATGAAACTGTGACTGGAACAGAGTATGGAAGGAACATTGTGATTGTGATGTTGAGAAGAAGCATTAAAATGCATCTTGGCCAAGAAAGCATATGACTTCATTTTAAAAGTATTAAGCAGATTGGTTAGCAAACCAAATTTATTTGCAAGCTTTAAGTGCAGTCAACCAGAACTTTGGACTCTTGCATCTATGTGCATACATGGCTCTCTCAATTGCATCTGAATTTGTTTCACTCTCACAAATGGGCACAATCACTGAACTCTTTCATACAGAATGTTGCCCTAAAATAATGAGAGGGCTAGAGTATAGCAAATAAAATACAACAAAGGTTTGCATAACTGGCGGGGAGGTTGTTTCCCCCAAGTGAAAAAAATCAGTTGTCAACCTGTACCTACTGAGCCTCTCAGGGCCAATTTCCTGCAGGAATGAAGAACTGTGGCATTGACCAAGATTTGAGGCAAGCCCCTAGAATTCAGGAAAGGAAAATCCATGAGGCAGTTGTCCATGCTGAATGGAGACCAAGAAGGAACTTCTATATAACCCAAGCTGCTGAACTGGCACACTCTCTACGGAGTAAAGCTTGCAACAGCTGCCCTCTGTCTGCAAATTGGCAACTTCTCCTATGGAGAGCAGCAGCGTGATTCCATTGCATGATAAAATATGGACCCTGTCTCCTTCCTATAGAAGGACCACCTGGCAACAAAGGCTGGGACTGCGCCTATACTTGTACCTACCCCATCCCTATACCTACCTTACCCTACTCCCAACCCCACTCCTATCCCTTTCCCTACTCCTAATAGAGCCTTTCCATGCTGCTTTCTGACCCAATGCCTGCTGCCTACAGGTGCAGAGCCCCAGAGCAGGCTGTGTGTAAACAGACGGGGTAAAGGAAAGACTTTTGCCATTAACCCCAGGCACAAATAGCAACTCTGTTTGGCCTTAACAATGAGTTCTTTGCCGCATAGTAACAGCACACCAAGAATTTTTCAGTGAAGCCCATTTTGAAAAAGGGGGGGGGGACCCAATTAGGCAACATAGCAGAGTGTCTATGATGTCGAAGGACCAATTTGATTGACTCTCTGCATACATGCAACTGTTTTAACTGGTAATCTATGTGTGTTCCTAGACACAACATGTATGTAGGACATTGAACTTGAATTAGCATTGTGTATATCCTCAAGTGCAGCTCCATCCTCTAAAATACAGTCTATCCAAAAGTAGTCTAGATTTGAAAGTCTCAGCAACTACCTAAGTTCCTTACAACCTGGTGGATTCACCCTCAACTCCCCCCCCCCACTTCACAGAACTGTTAGAGAGTGAGGGAGAGCCAGACTCTCCATTGTGTCTTTGCTGCATCCGGTTCACTTTGGGTAAAAAGAATATAATTGTTTTTAACATTTTAAAAGCAAATAAAAGTGCTTAAATATTTGGCAATTTGCAACTTGAAAAGAAAACAGTAATGGGTTTCAAAGTGCGTGTCTTTACTTTTAATGAACTGTTTATTTTTCATGGTTCCATTGGCAATAAAATACCAGCTCCACATCAAAAGCCTTTAGGGAGGCACTTTCCATTTGGAGGACAGTGTGATTGCCAATAATTTTGATTTTATTTTTTTTTAAGAAACTCACTAGACTACATTTCCAGATTTGGGTTATTGCCTATTATCCCAGGTAATTATTATTTTTGTGTATGTGTCTTCCTTCATATAGGCAAATTACAAGCATTTATGCACTCACTATACTCCAGAAAGATAAAAAGAATTTAAGTGATAAGAAGATCAGGGACCTCCAGAATGTTTTAATGAACATGTTTCCATTATCCTCTGTGCTTGTTCATTTTGTTGGAAGAATGATTCATTCATTTCAAATTTGGCAACTTAAAAAGCAGCAAATTCTAATTTCCCCGTCACAATACAGAGTCGGTTTATTGGCCTGCTTGGGCTTATGAGGGGCATTTTGAGGCTCCTTTCCCTTTGACAACAGCACCCTCTGCTGGTTTTTACAATTCATCACTAGTAATGGGATCAATCCAAATTGCAAACAGAGGTTTCCCTGCAACATTGCACCCAGCAGGGCGAGATTCATAAATCAGTTTTCCACTCTGGTGATTCATTACCAGATATATTTTTTCTGTAAAACAGCACAGCTCAAGGAATTCATCAGGAATTCAGAAGCTTCAAAAACTACCTTCTTTTGATTAATCATCTCTTTGACCTTTTTCTTTCTATTGGACAAGGTTAATAATATTCGTTATCACTAAAAAGTTAAACCGTACCAGCTTCCAAGTGATTTTTGGTTTACAAAGGCCAGTTATCATTGCCAAGAAGCTTCAGGGTTGATATTTGTTATGATCCTCAGGTATGACCCCGAGGGACATCTGACCAATGCAACGTTTCCTACTGGAGAGGTCAGCAGCTTCCACAGTGACCTGGAAAAGCTGACGAAAGTAGAACTAGACACATCTAACCGCGAAAATGTCCTCATGTCAACCAACCTGACAGCAACTAGTACTATATACATTTTAAAACAAGGTAAGTGACCCTCACAACTCCACCTGGGCTCTCTATTAAGTAACTGGAATCCCCCTCTGATTGAGAAGATGGGTTCTTCCTCCTACTTTCCGGCTGAAACACAGACAAATTCAGACTTTTCACAAGTTCACGTATCCACTTTGGGCCACAATCTGTGGGAGTAATGAGGTTACATCCTGCCAAGTCTGATCTCCCATCAAGTCATTTCCCAACACACAGTGATTTGTAAAGTTCGTTTAGGGTTTCCTAGGTTGGAAGACAATAATAGAGTCTGTGCCCTATCTGAGCTTAGCATTCTAGATCAGATCGGACATGGATGAGTAAAAGGGCAAATTAGGCAATACACCAAGGAAGAATACAAGTGGTATGAGAGAATTAAGAACCCATTCTACACAGAGCAGCGAGCAGAAATATTTGAAGAGAAAAATATTATTTTGAAAGAATGTGTTAAAGGCTATAGGGGAAGTGGACAACGAACTACTTTTCACTGCTTAGTCATTAGAACTCACTCTGCTGCTAGGCTGTAGGGCAATTCACTCCGAATGGAGTAACACCAACTTTTATCTCATGGGCTACAGTGGCTATGATGCCATCCCTGGGTGGCAACATGCTGAGTTGAATTTCATACTCTTCTCATTCTAGCTCTCAGCATACCAAACTAAGACAACAAACACAAGTCAGAGAAGGAGTCTATGAGGAAATGCTTTTAAAACAAAACAGCTAACAAAAAAGAGACCAGCCTACTGTGTGAGACAACAGCAGTCTTTTATCCTGTTCACAAGATATAACCCAGTTGTAAAAATAACAAGACCCAAATGAGTAGAGAATGTAGCTATCTGTCAGAGGAGTGGTCTAGCCCAGAGTGGAGTTAGGCTCCCAGTGGTCCATCTGCTCAAACTTTCCCAAATGTGTCACTTGAAAATAATTGTCTCTTCTCCTCCTTCTCCTCCTCCTCCTCCTCCCTTCCTCCTCCTCCTTCTCCTCCTTCTTTTTCTCCTCTTCCTTCTTCTTCTCCTCCTCCTCTTCTCTCTCCATACCCCTCTCCCCCTCTCTTCTGCTCATCTGTCTACAGAAAATACTCAAAGTACCTATCGGGTGAGCCCGGATGGTTCTCTACGTGTCACCTTTGCCAGTGGGATGGAGATCAGCCTCAGCTCAGAGCCCCACATCCTGGCAGGGGCTGTCAATCCTACTCTGGGAAAATGCAACATTTCTTTGCCTGGAGAGCATAATGCAAACCTCATTGAATGGAGACAGCGAAAGGAGCAAAACAAAGGCAACGTTTCAGCTTTTGAAAGAAGACTGAGGGTAAGGCCTTCCCTTTTGAACCAAGGACAAAAGTTCGTGGGTTCCCTCAGAATGTGAAGAGCCTCCCGAAGTGGTCTCACTTCTCCAAAGTTTTTCTGGGTGACTGGCTAGCTTCTATGATATACTAATTCAAGGGAGAGTGCTAATGGCTGATGATGGGTTCAGTATCTTTAAATGTACATTCTAATAGCAGCTTTCTTTGTCATTAGCCAGCTAAAGTGCTCTAATAGTAGCAATTTCAGGCACAAAAAAAGTCTGGCCAGAGAAATATAGTTAGTCAAGAAGCTCTTCAGTACCCATCGCCACCTGCCCTGGAGATGCTTATTAGATTCCCCAAGTTGAGCCAGGTTTCCACCTTTGGTTAGAGAGAAAGAGAAGAATGTGAGTCATAAGGCACCATTTAGACATAGGCAAGATGGGAGGGCAAAGTCAGTGAATGACACATCACTAGAGCCATAGAAGCAAAGAACTGGAAGTGAGAATAGGCTGGAGGAATCAAACAATCATGCCTGAGGGAACTGAAAGCTTTTGGAGTTTTCAAGTCTTTACCAAACACAGTTCCCTACAGTTAGGCCGAAATCTCTGTCAAACACTGGCCTAATGTGTAGGAAGCCTACAAACACCATAATACCCTCTTTACCTGTTCTTTCTTGAACATTAACCAATGTTATGATGATGTGGCCAGATTTCCAAATACAGTAGCACTCAGTATCAGCATCAGAGCAACTGCCAATCTGTAGAAAGTGTTCATTACTGAGGCCAGGACGCAGAGGACCTGTATCTCACCCAGCACGCAGAGAATTCTTGCATTCTCTTCAATCACTGTAAAAGAATGATGGTAAATTGAATGCTGTAGAAGCACAACTACCAACCAACCATAGAGCTGCAGAGGGAAGCAAGCAAACCAACCAGTCATATGGCTTGATGCAGAAAAGATAATCTACAAGTGTGCTTGCTTTTTAATCAGCTCTACTGATGGTATATAGAAACAGTCTTTAGTAGGTTTCGTGTGTTTTGTTTCTGGTTTTTAATAATAGCTACTGAAGTTATTTAGAAAAACAAGTCCATCTGTATGTTTCAGTTCTATTGATCAGTCTGTATTAGAGCATTTACCAAATAGGCCACTGAACTCAGAAGTGAATCTAGCCTAAATCCTAAAGCTCTAGATGTCAGCATTTATGTCTGAGTTCTTCGAGAAATGTGCCTACTGCATAGACATTGGAATGGGAAAGGCAGATGACCTAGCCTTGATACCTGGTTTTATACCTTGTTTGATAATGCTGTTTTGTTGCAGCGGTCACAGCAATGGTGGCAGTGATTTGGTTTGGTTCTTGTTTTTGCTTTTGCTTTTGAGACAGAGTCCCTTTCTGTATCCCAGGCAGAGCTCAAACTAATGATTCTCCTGCCCCAAACTGAGTACTGGGATTAAAGTCCTAGGCTACCCACCAGCTTCTTTTTATACTATGAAGTGAACATGTGATGCTATGAAAAGTTAAGGATTCTCTACAAATGGTTTATCATCTTAATGACTGATCACAGGAAAACAGAACTTTTACTTCCTCCCCAACTTATATACTCAATAAAATATTATGAACCAAATCAGGGAGAGTGTCATTTCAGGGTTTTTAGTCTTTGGGATAACCCATTCTCTACTCTGTGACCTTGGAATTTTCTAGGATGGTCCAATCTCTGTTCTCCCTACCACATTCAAGTAATAGAAAGAAAGTATCAACTGTAATGTGTATATAATATCCTCTAATTTTCTTATTTTTGAAAAGCTAAAAGCCATAAAACACCTAGGGTTTAGTAAATGCTAAGTATGTTGACCCACATTGCACTCTGTATGGTAGAGTTAAATAGATTTGAAGACTGGATTGTGAATGCAACAAATTCCAGGCCTTTTTCTCTATGCAACTTCTAATGTACTCCCTGAAGTCTTGGAAATGAAGGATTGGGCCCCGTATTGGCTAGGTAGTGTGGCTGTGCCGGTCCCTAGAAATCTAATAACAGTCTTTTACATAGACCTAGTGCCTCCGAGTTAACAAAATGCTTTCACAGCCAGAATTTTATGTGATCACCACAGCCATCAATTGTAGTTATTCCCAATTTACAGATAAAGACACCAAGGCCCAGAGAGGTCAAGTGATTTGCCCAAAGTCAAACAGCTATTAAGGCTCAGAGCCAGAGCTAAAATGCAGGTCTTCCCCCTAGTACGGTACTATTTCCACTGTATCATGCCTTGCTGCCTTGTCCCTTAAAATAATTAATCTATAAATCATTGCCCCACTCGGTACAGCCACCTTGGCAGAGCCTGACTCCTCATTTTCAATGCTGACAAAAAGAGACAAATAATCACCTCTAATGTACTGGCAAATGTGGGTGGTTCAGGACAACTGGCTGGCCTCCAGGCAAAGAGAGCATGAAGGAGACAAAAGAAGGAGAAAGGCTGTTTAACTGGGCAATCCTTATCTGCCCTCCCCATTCACAGGACCTGGTGCATTACTGCCTTGGTTTCCCAGTGCCAGGCATGGAACGGAATGCCTAGTGGAATGAATGCATTTCCAAAAGACAGGTGTAGATGCAAGGTGGACAAAGCAAATAGTCTTTGCCCACTGATCATAACCCTTCACTTCTGGTAGGCTTGTAAGGGTGATGACAATGTTCTCTTTCTATCTAAATGTGCAGGGACCCATTTGTAAGTATACCTCTAAATAACAGGGTCCCTGATGTTCTCCAGTACCAGAGGGTCGTAACTAAACCATTTGTTTCTCCTGCTGAAGCTGCTACTCCAGAACATGAGCAGATGGGATTACGAAGAGAGGTTGAGACTACACATCGCATAGTCACAGGCCATAGAAACCCTCTGAAAAGCCACTCTCATAATTTGTAAAACACAGGCACAAAGTGACATCTTCATTTAAAGGTCCATGTTCCAAACCCTACCTATCGTAGCCCCAGATTTCCTAGCTGGAAAACATTTCAGGGGAAAACCTGTATTTAGATGAAAACAAGAATTCCCTTCCTCCAGTGATCAGTGGGGATTTCTTCCCCCGTGCACACAAAATAAGGTAAGAGAAGCAAATTGTTGGGAAACATGGTATTACGTACAGCCTATGTAGGCCAGGCAACTGTTAGCTCTATCATCCTTCACAGGCACCACTGCATGAAATAGATCACATTAATATTTTGAAAGTTCATCTATTTTAAAAATCTATTTCCCCTAACTTGAGTTGTGTTGGAATCATCTTCCTCATAAAGTACTTTTGCATCCAACCCATGTATCCTCTCATCTGCTGTATAAATCTGTCCCCATAAATACGTTTCCCTGGACAATAGAAGAGTTAGAGTACAGATAACAATAGAGCCAATTGTCAAGGAATTGGATGTTCTCCAAAAGCAAACTGCTTTAGGAGCTACAACCAGATTGCACCTTGCTGTGTCTGTGGATAATCATGTCATATGAGACTTATCCCAGTATTGAATCCCAGAGTTCTTTATATGATTTCATAGAGTGAGCAGCAAAGTTCTGAAACTATAGCTTCCTTTATTTTCTTTAGAAAAAATCAATAATGGAAACAGCATTTGAAATCAAACTTATAAAATCCAATAGAATGATTATATATTGACAAACAAAAAGAAGAAAAGTCTAACACCCTCACAGGTGATCTTCCCTCTACTTAAAGATAATTGAAAAGGGCAGATATGTGTATGCATGTGTGTTTGCTTGTGCATGTGGACATGAGAGGTCAATCACTGGTGTTATTCCCAGGAGTCATCTAACTTGGTTTTTGAAACAGAGTCTCTCACTGGGATACAGAGCTCAACATTTTGGCTAGACTTACTAGACAGTCAGCAGAAGGGAACTTCTTTTCTCCATTTCCCCAGCCCTAATAGTGTATTATTATTATTGTTGTTGTTGTTGTTGTAATAATAATAATAATTTTTAACTTTTTTATTTTTCTTATTTTACACAACAAACCCAGTTCCCTCTCCCTCCCTCCTTCTCTCCCACCCTCCTATGCCCCCCAATTACCCTCCCCTCCCATCCCCATCTACTCCACAGGGAGGGTGATGCCTTCCAGGAGGGTCAACAAAATCTGTCAAGTCATTTGGAGTAGGGACTAAGCCCTCCCTCATGCCTCTAGGTTAAGGGAGTATCACTCCATGGCGAATGTGCTCCCAAAGTCATTTTGTGCACCAGAGATACATCCTGGTTCCACTGTCTGAGGTCCCTTAGACTGCCCAGGCCTTCTAGCTGAGACCCATGTTCAGGGGGTCTGAGTCTGTCCCATGCTGGATTCCCAGCTATCAGTCTGGGGGTCATTAGCTCCTCCTTGTTCAGGTAAACTGTCTCTGTGGGTTTTGGTAGCCTGATCTTGTCCTCCCTCTCTGTATCTGGATTCCAGTTCGGCTCAGTGTTTAACTGTTGGTGTCTGCTTCTGTTTCCATCAGCTACTAGATGAGGGCTCTATGATGGTGAATAAGTTAGTCATCAATTTCATTACCAGGGAAGGGCATTTATGGTAGCCTTTCCACTGTTGCTCAAATTGCTAGTTAGGGTCAATCTAGTAATATTGTAAGTACACACTACTTTCACATGGGTGCTAGGGATCGAACTCAGATCCTCATGCTTTTGCTTCAAGCAATTTACTATCTCATAGCCTTCAAAATAAGATTTTCAAATACAACATGTAAATATTAATATGTGACCGAAAATGTTAAAGGGAAGAAAACTCTTGTTGAAACTCTTGAGTTCCAAGCTGGTAAATGGAAAATTGGAGTCTAAGCCAAAAGCATAGTAGAATTCACTTCTGTCCTCAGAAACAGCCTGAAAGAGCCATCAGCTATGGGATAAGGATTCTCATTTCTGACTGTTTTACCTTCCTTCTCATTAGGTTTGGTAGAGACATTCATTTTATGAAGTTATACAAGGATATATATTAACCCACCTTTAAAATGCACCTGCAGTCTTCTGTGTTTCTGTCCCCCCCCCCATCCCC